GATGTATCAGACCAAGTGGTCCCAGATTTCTCCATAGCCCAGGAGACAATATTGGTAAACAGAAACTCTCGCAAGCTCCAAGGAGCTAGCTTTCGTGATGTGGATATAGTCCCCCTTAAGTGGATAAAATATGGGGTATATGGGGATCTTATTATAATATACCCGAAGCCATATTCTATCCACTTAAGGGGGAATATATTTATATGTAGGACGATGATTATCGGTAATAGTGTTGTCATTACTATTGTATTATTCGGATCCACTCTCCCTTAAGCACCAGTAAGGAACCCAGGTCGAGTCCAGCAATCGGTCCGGGCCAACAGCCACAGTCAGGTCCCCGGAGACAATCTCCTGGTACAGATTGAGAGAATGCAAAAGTACACCTAGGTTCCCCAGCTGAGACTTAAAGAAAAGCTACACGAAGATCTGCCTCCGCTCGCTGCTGCGCCCGCCATGTCAACACGGCCTCTGGATCTTCGCCCAAAGCCTCAGCCACTGCTTCCGCTGTTGGCGGCAGGCCCAGCACATCCGCCAGTGCTCCCAGAAGCCCCTGCGGCGCACAGCGCAGGCTGTAGGTCAGTTCCTTCACCGCAGGAGGCAATGAGGATGCAGTGGATGCAGTGCGGAGGTCCTCCGCTTGCCGTGTGCCTGGCAGCCGGGTCAAGTGCCGCTCCACAGCCGTCCCGGTCCCGGCCGTCCCGGACAACACAGTGCTTGGTCTTTGCCGCCAGGTGCCCAGGAGCCTTCCAGTACTCAAGCGACGACCAGCCAGACGAATTGTACCCGCAGAGACCAGCACGGACATCATGCGCGGGGAGCCGAGAGAGATTCTCTTTTGTCTGTTCTCACCGCCCCTCCTTGCAAGGCTGTGCGCAGCAGCCTGGCGGCCAGTCACGGCGGCCGAGAGCAGCGGAAGATGAGCGCAGGTGCCTCTTCGCACTGCCATGCCGTGCTTGCACAGCGTCGGCGAAGTGAACAACATGCTGATAGCTTGTGCCCCAAAGCCATCACGGAGTTCATGATAGAGCAGCGACCCCACTTTCACAAGTAAAGGCTATATAGTCTAAGGATGTCCACCTCCCGCCTTCAAGCACTCACCGGTACCAGCAAAGAAGCTTCTGGAAACCTATTCAGCGAGGGCCTTTGCCCACCCCGCGCTTGCTGTCCCGTCCCACAACAACTTGACTACCAAATCCCAGCTTTTCCTGACAGGCTGGCAGAGGCCCGTGCTCATCCAGATCTGGATCAGTTCCCTTGGCCGACGCATCCCCTGCGCGCAGCTTGGGGCGGGATAGAGAAGCCTGAAACACAAAAAGACTGCTGGGGTATGTTCTGTTGTGTCGCCATGATTTTTGGAGAAGAATATGGCTAGCCTTGCTGCATGTCCGTGAAAGCCATCTCTGATAAGACGTGAGGTTAGAACCAATTGAACCAATGCAGCTTGCCCTGCTTGGCAGATTGTTTCCGGAGAGAACATGGGAGGGTCTGGAACAACTGCAGAACGCAAGAAACCTACGCATTGTAAGCGGTTGTCAAAAGCAACGTTCGTTTTTGGTCCCAAATTCCAGCTGGCCACGCATGCCCAACAAAAATAGGACCCTACTCTTGACAATCTTTCCTCGGACTTGGTCTAGCCCAGCATGGCAAATCCTAAGCATGAAGTTAGAGTCTTCAATGGACTGAGGAGATATACTTCAATCCGCAAAAACCTTCTGCTAAGCTCGTGCAACCCTGTGAAAATAAAACTCCATATGAGCTGTTGTCTAAACTCCTAGTCTCCCCCTTAGTAACCCCTAGAATAGTCCCCTATATTATCCCCTATATAACCTCCTATAAGAAGTTTAGACTATGGCTCATATCCATCTAGTACCATGGCTAGAAAAGATCTTATAAGCTTATTTTTAGGGCTATATAGGGTTCCATAG